ACCCGGCGGAGCCCGTCCCCGCCTCGGCCGACGCGCTGCACGTGCTCCACATGCGGCTCGCCGGCACGTCGTACAAGTGGGCGCTCAACAGCACGCAGCTGGAGCCGGACAGGATCGAGCCGCGCGAGCCGCCGCTGCTGTTCGGCTCGCCGGAGCGGCACGCCCGCGACAACGTGACGCTGGCCACGCGCAACGGCACCTGGGTCGACCTGGTGCTGCTGGCGTCCGTGTTTCCGATGCCGCCGCACCCGGTGCACAAGCACGGGAACAAAATGTACAGGATCGGCGCTGGCAACGGCCCGTTCAAGTGGGCGTCGGTCGACGAGGCCGTCAAGGAGGTCCCGGGCCAGTTTAACCTCGTGAACCCGCCGCGGCGGGACACGTTTACGACAATGGTGGCGAGAAAGGATCAGAGTTGGATCGTGGTGCGCTATCATGTCGCGAGCCCGGGCGCCTGGCTGCTGCACTGCCATATTAGCAACCATATGATGGGTGGCATGGTTATGGTGCTGCTGGACGGTGTGGATGCGTGGCCGAAAGTACCAGATGAATATCTCAATTATCGTTAAGTGTGTATATAGAGATTCTCCCATCTCAATTTTGAATACATGTGTTTTGAAAACTCCTTTTGCGTAACGGTGAAAACACAATTGCCTACCATGATATACAGCGTAACAAATGTTCAAGTAGCAGTTCGGGGTATCTATCCATTAGTAACCAATCCTAGCCAGTCTTGCCAGCATGCACTACCCTGTTCAGTCCGACATGTCATCCATCGCGGGGTCTCTGCCAAAGGGATGATTAAATTTGAGCAGCCCATTAAGACCGCCCACCCAGGGATCATCCTCCTCGCTGCGGATGACGCAGGGCACGCCGCCGTGCCACTCCTCGCCGGGCCCGGCGCGGCCGACAAACTCGCCCTCGACGCGAATCTCGGTGCCCGGGAGGACGCCGCAGCAGCGCTTGCCGTCGATGCTGAGGTCCAGCTCGCGGCCGCGGTTGCGCGAGCTCATGCGCAGGACGACCTTTGTGTCGAGGGGCAGGACGAGCGAGCGGAAGCTCAGGCTGCAGGGGCTGATGGGGGTGATGAGGAGCGACTTGACGAGCGGGTGGACAATGGGCCCGCCGGCGCTCAGGCTGTAGGCGGTGGAGCCGGTGGGCGTGCTGATGAGGATGCCGTCGGCCGTGGTCTCGGTCAGGAAGTGGCCGTTTTGGTAAATGTCGATGATGGCGAGCTGCGGGTGGGAGCCGCGGTGGACCGAGATCTCGTTGATGGCGCGCAGCGACGGCGACGGCTCCTTGGACTCGGCAATGGTCGACCGGCCCTGGCTGGAGAGCGAGTCGGACACCTGGTGGTTGATGCTGCGGCCGGCGCGGTCGTAGATGTCGGCCTTGATGCGGTGGCGCAGCAGGACGCGCGACGCGCGCTGGTGGCCGAGGCACTTGCCCTTCATGCGCTCCCAGCCCTCGTGGCGGACGGCGCCGCGCGTGGTGAGGTTCCTGTTCTCGCCCTGCTGCAGGTAGTCGGCCTCGCGGGCCTCGGGCACGTCGCTGCCGCTCATGTACATTTGGCGCCAGGCCTTCTTGTAGTCGGCGAAGCTCCACTCGCCGAGGAAGCCGAGGGTGCCCATGCTGAAGGAGACAATGGGGGGCACGGAGCCGTGCAGCTTGTAGAGGCTGGCGGCGCGCAGCACGGTGCCGTCGCCGCCAAACGTGGCGACGACGTCGACCTTGTCGGCAATGTTGGACCGGTGGTCGGCGACAAACACCGCGAAGCCGAGGTGCTTCTGGATGGCGTCGGCCACGCGCGGCTCCACGACAATATGCACGTCGGGGTACTCGCTGCGAATGTGCCGCGCAAAGAGGATGACGGACTCGGTCACGTCGGGCGCGTACAGCTTCTGCACCAGCAGCAGGTTGCGCGGCGGCCGCGGCCAGTTGAGCACGAGCAGCGACGAGCCCGGCTTGGCGCTCTGCAGGTACCGCGGGTGCGTCCGGTCGGGCAGCTCGGCGATGCTGCGGCTCGTGGGGGGCGCCGTCGAGGCGAGCGCGCGTGTGGTGGAGAGGTGTCGGGGGTGGGCGGAGGACGGTCGGGAGCAGACTGCCGGCGCGGCGACGGCGGCGGTGATGCCGCTGGGGCCGCGGCAGGTCGGCGCAGGGATGCGGCGGCAGAGATGTCGGGCGTGCGCCGCGCCTCGGACGGCAGCAATGCGGACCATGGTGAGTTAGACGAGGTCGAGGCCAGGCATCGCTTGGTTGCGCGACACAGAGGCAGTTTGGCTGAGGCGCGGTTGTGAGGTCTTGGTGGATTGTCTGGAGGCTCCCAAGTGCGACAACTCTCGATATTATACAATGGGCGGATTCAAAGTGGTTGCGAATAAAGTTGTTTCGTGGGGACAAACACTCGACAGCAAAGAAAAAAAATACGAAACCGAGATGGCAGGCTGGCAGTGGAGCCTGGTTTACAGCGATATCGCAGGGCTGCTAGCGGCTGGTGGGGGATGCTGTTGGCGGATTTCTCGAGGTTCATTTCGATTCATATACTCATTATTCGTACCACATTTAAGTATTCAAGCTTTCAATTCTCACCCGTATTATTCTTGCTCTTGAGTTGAGTGGCTAGTGGTTCTCCCCCTCCATCACGCCTCTCAGGTGCAACCACTGGAGTTGTCGATGCTCTCCTAGACGGGTGATGGCACAGCATTGCGCTCAGATACGCCCATCCAACCCTGGAATCGTTCATCAATCGTGAACCTACTTTGGCCTACGTCCTCACAACAGGCAAAAGCGACCCAAAGCCGCTTGACTGCCGCCCCAACATTATTCACCAACTCTTGTGCATTTCCCCCCTCGAGCATCGGCGCATTCTTCCACGCGTCCCAGCCACCCAGGAGAAAAGGGACCTCGAGAGTATGCGTGGCTCCAAACGGGCTTCCGTCCGGCGCAGCCACGAGCTCGTAGAACCAAGGATTGCCACCCGCGGCGCGCGCTTGCTCCCACAGCTTATCCGAGTCGTCCTGGAACCACGACTTGCTGATAAAGTCGACGACACTTGTCGTAAGAGCTGGCTGTAAGTCGGGACTCATGCCGCCAAACAAGCCTTGGAATGCGACGCCCTCGTCACGGCAGTAACCGACAAATATCGGGATTCGCTCCAGGGCGCGCTGCACACGAGCGTCGAATTCCGCTTTGCTGCTGGGAAGCGGCGCATGTCCTAGCATGGGCGCAAACGGCAATCCCAAGGCCGTAAAGCCACGTGCCTCTATCGCCAGCTTCTTCTGCACCTCAAAGAGCTCCTCCAGTGGCATGTCAGCCGGGTTCTGTCCAAGCGAAGCTTTCGCGGTCCTTTCCAGTGCTGTGTCCATGGAGCGTCGATCCATGTGCCGAACACCCAGAGGTGTGCTCATCAGAATCGCGCGCTGGAACAAGCCCTCAGCCCCATCGGCGGCAAAGAGGCAGTAGATGGAGTCTCCTCCGGCCGAGCTGCCGGAAAGAGTCAGCTTTTCGGCATCGCCACCAAAGCTACTGATGTTGTCGCGAATCCAGCGCAGGGCGGCCATTTGATCGAGCAACCCCAGATTGGCCGGCGCCACGCCTTCCACTGGCTGATAGCCCAGGATGCCGAGCCGGTATGTGATGCTGACGTGGACGACACCAGCAGCCGCCAACTCGACACCGCTGTAGACATCGAGATCACCACCGCCCGACGTATATCCTCCTCCGTGAATGAAGACGACGACGGGCAGCAACGCTGTCATGTCCTCCCTCCAAGGCGCACATATGCTGACATGCAGACAGTCTTCATCCATGGCGTGCCCGGCGGTGATGTTGCCATTGAGATCCTCGAGGCGGGAGGGCAGCTGAGGGCATATCGATGCCGGCCTTGTACAATCAGCGATGCCCGTCCATGGCTGGACAGATTGCGGGGCTTGGAAACGGGCAGCCTGAGCATATCGGACGCCACGGGCGCGAATAATGTCGCCGTGCTTCAAGGCGCAAATGGCGCCGTCTCGAAGCTGAATCTCAACCATCGATAGCATGGCCGAGCAGAAGGGTCTTCAAGTGCCAACGAAGAAGCGTTTGATCCGGACGAATCGAGCACGTCAAAGTAATACGAGAGCAAGATCCAGCTTGGTTAGCACTCGCATTTGGCGAGTTTGTGGAGAAATCGGAAAGCTGTTTACTTAGTACGTGTTAGCGCCGATGCCACAGATCATGCATCGGTTCTCGATCCACATAGCCGAATGTATACGTTGCATTCTTAATTATTGGGTTGCAATAGTGCCCCCGTTGTTGAGTACGGGACTATTCTCGTTGCTGTCTGACCCAAGCCACGGCCTAAAGGCATAAGAGCTGATCATGGTGAAGAACAGCGCCGTCGCTTCTGGACGCAAAATTCGGTGCGCCAGTTGAGAGTCACGTCAGCAAAATCTGTACCTGTGGAATATCACACAAATGACATGTTATGTCGACGTGTGCGAGGTAGCAGAAGTTGTGCGCACTCACACACTTGCTATTTTGCCCTATAATAAATAATACTTTACTGAATTTTGTACTGAATTATGCCTTTCCATGTATGCTGATGTAATCGAGCCTTAACAAATCCCACCAGAGATTACCCTGGATCCATAAATCTACTGGAATTTCGGATTCTGACTCAACACTGCTCTGCTCAAATGGAGTCCGTCGACAAACACGTCCGCGGTCCTACACAGGACCACACGCATACATGCACCGTCATATTCCTGCACGGTCGCGATAGCGAGGCGAAACAGTTCGCTGACGAGCTGTTCGAAAGTGAAGCCAGCGTCGACCTGGCCGCCGCGGCCAACTGTCACGACCGCACCCTGCCTGGGATGCTCGGTACTGTGCGCTGGGTTTTCCCGGCCGCGCCGTTGCTGCGCTCGCAGCGATTTGGGGAGAGCCTGTCTCAGTGGTTCGACATGTGGTCTGTCGAGGAGCCCGAGATGAAGAGCGAGCTTCAACGCGACGACCTGGTCCACAGCATTCAGAGGGTGCTCGCCGTAATCGAGGAAGAAGAGAAGCTGGTTCCAAGGAATAAAATCTTTCTCTGTGGAATTAGCCAGGGGTTTGCGACTGCGATATCGCTTCTGCTTGCCGAAGGCCAGGGCGGCTTTGCAGGGCTCATCGGGTTATGCAGCTGGCTACCTTTCTCATCCCAAATCGAAGCCAAGATGACTGAGCATCCGCCCAACGCGTCTATTTTCACTTGCCTGCAAACTCTATATCGCTCCGAGGAGAACCAGTCCATTCTGGATGCGGTACCCAATAAAATCAGGGCCACTCCAGTGCTTCTGGGGCATGCTGCCGACGATGCTGTCGTCCCCATGGAAAATGCTCGACGCATGAATCAAATTCTGTCGGCTCTTGGACTCAATGTGGAGTGGCATGAGTATGAGGATGGGGGGCATTGGATCAATGAGCCTCAGGGCGTCGACGACATCGTTTCATTTATCCAGGCAAACGTGTAGTAGCTCAGCCAACTACTGTATGGGACAGCAGGCTGCTAGAGCACGTGAACGATGAACAAATTATTACACTCCTGACTGTTCTGCATTACCAATTTGTCCAATATTCTGCCATGACACCATTCTTCGCTGCTCTTCGCGATGCTACCTTGAACACCAACAACCATCCGAAAGTGGAGAGAACGAATCCACGCCTCACATCTTGGCAGCGGGTATAACCGCCCTTTTGCAACGTCGGAGCCGCAGATACATCAGCTGGGAAATATAAATAGGAACTTTTGCACGCAAAGTCTCCGACACTAAGCGACGACAAGTGCCTTCTGCCAAAAACGTGGTTCGGAAGCAATACCCGAGGACCACCATCGTCATCTGTCTCAGCGATGGCAACATCGCCCAGCCCCGATTATCGCCCCCCTCTGTGCTGTGCCGTATTCCCGTCGCCACAAGGCGAGCCAATGCCAAGCATCCTGGTACCAAATGCAATATCAGAACTGGTCAGGAATCACGAGAGCCAATAAACAACCGTGGCAAGGTTACATGGCGCGGGTCGTGCTATGTAGCTAGTTTGCAGAAGTTCGTCTGGCGGGGTAAATTCGGGATACCGAAAAAGGCACGACGGATATTTAAAAGCACGACGAGCGCCCGCCAGCTACTGAAGCTGCAGGACACAGGACCGACTTGCCTAAGCAGACTACAAATTCCGGACGCATCAATTGCTTGGAGACATGGCAAGCGAAAAGGCGCCTGTCGACGTATCAGCCCAGCTTGAGCCCGCCGACAAGCGGCAGACGAGCCTGGACGGAAGGACAACGGAAAGCCCAAAGGTCCCAGGCAAAGACGACGATGCAGCATCAACGGAGACGGCCGAGCGGGTCCAGGGACACCCCATTATTCGAAATGGTAAAGACGAATCTCGGAGGTCCAACGTGTACTTAGTAGGAACTGACATACATGGGCAGGCGAGGACGTCTCCAAATACCTAGTCTCGGATCGCGACGACGGCGATCCAGCACTGACGTTCCGCTCCATCTTCCCGGGCACCATCTTCACCGCCCTCTCCAGCGTCATCACCATGCTCTACGTCTTCAAGCCGACGCAGATGCAAGTCTCGGCCGTCTTCCTCCAACGTACGCCCCTTCCCCTCCCCCCCGGCGACTCACCTTTTGACTAACACATCCCCCGACAAACCCAGTCCTCGTCTTTCTCTTTGGCGAGGCCTGGGCCTACGGCACGCCCAGCCCGTCCCGCTTCTCCAGCAAGCCGGTACAGGCGACCCTGCGCTTCCTCAACTCTGGCCAGGCGTTTGGCATCAAGGAGCACGTCGTGGCCTCGCTCATCGCGTCGTCGGGCAACAACGGGCTGTCGGGCGTCGAGATCTACGCCGTCGAGCGGCTCTTCTACGACCGGGCCGTGGCGGCGAGCACGGCCGTGCTCGCCACCTTTTCCATCTCGCTCTGCGGCTTCGTGCTCGCCGGCGTGCTGCGGCCGCTCATCGTGTACCCGGCCGAGATGGTCTACTGGTCCACGCTGCCGCAGGTCGTGCTCTTCCAGAACCTGCACTTTGACCGCGCCGCCAACCGCGCCCGCCTCGCCAATTTTGCTGGGCCCTCGGGCTCGCCGCCGTCTGGGAGGTCTTCCCCGCGTACATGGTCACCTGGTTCGGCGGGCTGTCCGTCTTCTGCCTCGCGTCCTTGGGCGCGCCCGCGGCGACGCGCACCGCGTTTGGCCGCATCTTTGGCGGCGCCTCGTCCAACGAGGGGCTCGGCCTGCTCAACTTTAGCCTCGACTGGCAGTACATCCAGAGCACGTACCTGTCGCTGCCGCTCAAGCAGCAGCTCAACAGCTGGATCGGCTACGCCATCTGGTACCTCGTCGTGCCGCTGCTCTTCTACAAGAACGTGTGGGATGCCCAAAAGTTCCCCTTCATGTCCACGTCGCTCTTCTCCAGCAACGGCTCGCGCTTCGTCACCACGTCCGTCCTCAACGCGCACGGCACCATTGACTACGACAAGCTCGCCCGCGTCGGCGTCCCGCAGCTCACGTCCACCACCGCCTGGGGCTACCTCACGGCCAGCCTCGCCATGGGCGCGCTCATCACCCACGTCGTCCTCTTCTACGGCAAGGGCATGGTCCAGGCGTGGAAGCAGGCCAGCGCGCGCACGCAGCCAGACGTGCACTACCAAAAGATGCTCCGGTACAAGGAGGTGCCCATGTGGTGGTATCTCGTGCTCTTCGCCCTCACCTTTGTCGCCGGCCTGGTCGTCAACATCAGGGGCGACACCACGCTCCCCGTCTGGGGCTACATCATCTCGCTGCTCCTCGGCGCCGTCATCGCGCCCTTTTCGTGCATCCTCTACGGCCTGTACGGCACGGGCATCGGCACCAACCAAATCTCCAAAATGGTCGCCGGCGCCGTGCACCCCGGCCGGCCGCTCGCCAACCTCTACTTTGCCAGCTGGTCGCACCAGGTGATCCTGCTCGCCGTCAACCTCGCCAACTGGCTCAAGGTCGGCCAGTACACCAAGGTGCCGCACCGCGTCATGTTCTTCACGCAGATATACGGCACGCTGCTCGGCGCCGGCCTCAACTACGCCGTCATGACCTCCATCGTCACCTCCCAGCGCGCCGTCCTCCTCGACCCGCTCGGGACCAACGTCTGGAGCGGCTCCGCCATGCAGAGCCTCAACGCGCAGGCCATCACCTGGGCGCTGGCGACGGAGATGTACGGCCGCCACGGGAGGTACTTCATCGTCCCGCTCGGGCTGCTCATCGGCGCCGCGTTTCCCGTCGCCCACTGGGCGCTCTGCAGGGCGTACCCGCGCATCCGCAAGTGGCCCATTAACACCACCTTTATCCTGCAGTACATGGGCACCACCTACTACGGCAACACGTCCTGGCTGTGGTCGTCGTTTGCGGTGGGCGCGTTTTCGCAGCTGTGGCTCCGCCGTCGCTATCCGCGCATCTACAACGAGTACAACTATCTCATCGGCGCCGCGCTGGATGGTGGCTCCCAGATTGTCATTTTCATCTTGTCGTTTGCAGTGTTTGGAGCAAGTGGCCAATCCCACCCGTTCCCGACTTGGTGGGGGAACCCCGAAGGCAATCCGGACCACTGCATATAGTTGGTTTTCAGGAAACACTATTGAACCTAATGATAGCGTGGAAGTGACTTCTAACTGAGTTGACTTACTTGAACTTGATAATACATAACCAATAATCTTCTTACTATAAAATTGATGCATAACTACAAATGTTCAATCTCCTCGCGCAATTCGTTGACAGCAGTGTGAATAGCTGCTGTAAATATGGCGTAGACATGGCTTTCAACAAAATAATCAAGACTACCGCAGAATCAGTAAGTCTTTTTAATGTTTTAAAATGCAATATCAATTAGCGTTCCATCAATTATAATATATCCTTTCCTTTTACTTTTAATAATTTCCTTGGGTATTTATTAACTACAAAAACTAAGGTCAAGTCCAAAGTAGCTACTTTCGAATACATTTCTTTCTTCTTCACCTAAATGCTAGAAATCCTAGCCAGGAACATATTCGCCTAGTGTCCAAACTACGTACGGAATTGTCCTCGTACCTTAACCAGTGCTTCCTTCGATTAACACAGATTAACACAGGCTTTTGCCCACAATGCATCCAACCGACAAACACACGGATCATCATTAATGAAGAGTCAGATTATCCCACGAGCTTCAGCTGTTTTCTTGGGCTGTTCTTTGCTCTTTCCATCGGACGCCGTGACTCCAGTTCCACAAGCGATGCCTGGGCATCTTGCAGCCCCGATCGAGGGTTGGTATCTCCCGGTTGAGGCAGTTTCTGAGATGGCGTTGATGAAATATACACTGGTCCGTTGGTCTCTAGTATGCTATTGGTTGACTGGAATTCGTCAGTACTACTAGCAAAAATCCACACAGATCAGAATTTACTTACTCTGGTTCCTGGCAAAATCCTCCTCATAAACGCCTTTCCGCGCGACGGATCAACCCACAGCATAACGGCCGTTTCTTCCGAGGCCAGCGTCATGAAGGATAGTGCCAGCGCGCAGCTCTTCGAGGTCAGCTCGCGCGACGTTGCTCTCCGACGAACATCAATGGGCTTTGCGTTGAGATTCGACACAAGATACAGGTGGCCCTTGTCGTTGACCAAGGCCAACTCTCGACCAGAGGCGGAGAATGCGGCGCCTTTTATCCGGTTGCCCAGCTTTCCGTGACTGCTGCTTGATGAAGCTTTGACTTCTGTTCGGTGGCCGTCGTTTTGTTGAATTAGGACTGGGGTTCCAGACTGCGTCCATGTGGTGACGCAGAGCAGCCCTTCCTCGGCACCTTGTTGCGATCGCATCATCACAGCGGATATTCCATTGTCCTCAGACTCGTGCATGGGTACAGGATACCGGCACCCAGTGAGTTCTTCGAAAGAATTAAATGGGAAGCACCACAGGTATATTTGCACGACGCCCTTGGCACTGCGTGTGCTGGCGACAAGGCTGAGGCCGTCTTGGGAGAATGCAAGCGTGTCGACAGAGGCACAATTTTTGCACGCGCTGTGAAGCTTGGAGTGTAAGTAGTCTTCCCGTGGTTGTTCCGATGTTGCAGTTTTGAAGAATCGCACGAGGCTATTTTCGAACCCGACCGCAACATAGTTCTCCTGTCGATCGATCGCGATACTTTTGCACCACGGAACTGATGGAACTCGATATTCAGTTACTGTTGGCATTGTTTGAGTGAGATCCATTATTCGTAGCTACCACTATCAGTGAAAAATTCGCCGTACAGGGACATGGAGACTTACCGTTAGTCTTTGCTCACGGCTGCCAATCACATATGCTACATAGCGTCTGCCGACGGTTGCCAAGATGCATGTGCTCTCTGTTGTAATAGTGCGAATCTGACTGGGAGGCGTTGTACCAAGATCCCAAACGTGTATCGTCGATTGGCTCCAGAGTAGCCCGTACGCCGAATTCTGCGACAATGCAACGTGCACAGCAGCAGCGGCCTTTGTCTTCGCAGCCGTCTTCAGTACTGAACCAAGAAGTCCTATGAGCGGGATCTCCTCCATAGGTTGCTCATCTACTTGGTTGGATGAGGAGCTCGATTCCCCAGAAACCGTGGGTAGCGGTCGTTTTGCTGATGCGAACGGGATAGGTACTCTCCATCGTTGGCGCGCCTTGTCGGGGCTTTGTGGTGGATTCTGGGTTGCAGGAGTTGTTTTTGGTGGCTCCCTGCTACTCGGTTTGCCCGATGAGATGGTGTCAATTGAAAAGTACGACACGCCTGCCACTGAACTGCTGCCTTGCTGCGAGTGGCTCTCGCCTGGGCCGATTTCAGCTGACATGTCTCGTCTCGGGGGATCGGCAGCGATCCAAGGTCTAATATGGGCTAGAAGTGAGTTCTCCTTCTTCGAGATGGAATATGAGGGCCCTAATGAATTGTTGCTGGATTGGTCCATCATCGACGGTGCGGTCTCTTTGGCTACAGACGGGGGCTGCGGCGGCAGATTGTCCGGGTCGAGCGTTATCGGAACGTTTCCGCCCAAACCGGTGGTAAAACTGCTATAGCTAAATATATCGTGGGGCTCGGTGTCCGGAGAAGCGAACTGGAAACTGTTGGACATGTGGCGCTCGACGTTGACAGAGTCAGCATTGACCTGGAGTGGGCTTAGCAGCTCCCACACCTTTCTGGCCAAGGGAAGTTCGCGCGCAAAAGTGTAATCTTCATCACATGTAACACAGGGTGATGGCTCTGATAGCCGAATCTGTTGTAGGGTGGTGGATTCCAGCTCGGAAGATGTTAGCATTTGCCGAGGATGGCCCCAAGTCATACGTACAGCAGTATTGATTCCATTGGCTCGAAGTTGTGCACCGCCAACTGTATGACTGTTGGGGCAGTTCAGCACGTATTGAGACGGACTTTGCAATCCTACAGAGCTTGCATCGGGATCATCTTGTATTTGTATGCTTCTAGTGATCCTAGAAATGATGGATGCCGTCTCCCTATCGCTGGATCGCTGGATAACCTGCCTCTGGGTCAGCTTTTCCGAGAGCTCATCCAGCGCTTCAGCTATATATTCGCCTCTTCTGGGCTCGTCGAAACTGAGAGTCGATAAATCCGGTGTGTCCCATAAAGTTAGGCGGAACCAGGCATTGAATGACGCTACGACGTCGACCTTGGAGAATTGGCAGGGTATTTGTAGATTCTGGAGAGCTGCGAAGACAGCATTTCGGGATTCCAGCGCATCTTGTTGGAGCTGTCCGCCGCACGTCGCGGATTTAGAGGCGCATTGCAATGAAGCGCCAATGATGTAGAGGGAAACGTCTCGCAGTGCCAGAAATTGTGATATCCAGCTGGTGGAAGCAGTATCTGCTGGAACCAGCTCCAAAATAGATGGCGGCAGCAAACATGGATTGAGCGGATACTATAATAGTTAGAAATTCCATAGGTCAGAGTTTAGTAGAATACGAACCAGCTCAGCAGTGAGATTTGGAGTTGTCTGCTGCATCTTTGGCGGTAGACAGACTGAATGAGCATCCTCATGGAGACGCCCACTAACCTCCTTGCACATGGCAAGTAGGAATGACTTTGGACCAGGATAGGCATCAAATATCTGTTCCAATAATCGATGAATTCTGGAAAATCTGGCTCGGCGATCTTTGGGACGCTGGAGAGGGGGTGATCTTGGATGGAGTTGCAGAACGCGGAGGGCTCCCAGTAGAAACTCGGCGAGGTACTCGTCTCGCAGCGCCGTGGCTTCCCAGAGACTATCACGACCCTCGACTATGGTCTGCAGAACCAACTCGACAGTGCGAGCAGCAACCTCCCAACTGACTAGGAATCCTAGAAACGGGCCAGGCTGCACTTGTCGAGATGGTATGGTGAGACGTTGTATGTAGAAGATGGCATCAAGCTGAACCAGAAGATTGATGATGACGGTTTGATATCTTGTCTTTTCTCCACTCGCCAGGTAGAGTTTCTCGAGCGAGAATCGTCCCAGCAGCTCGAGGATGATGTCATCTGCATCGCTGCGCAGCGCAAGCTGCCTCCAGATGGCGGTGCGCCTGGTGAAGCAGGAAGACGGTACGGACGACGCCATGGCTGCAGACAAGATAGAGAGAGTCGCGGGATTTGGGCGCTGGAATCTGAAAGAAACTGGGCAAAACTAAATCTCCAGACGCGACAAAATTCTTCTGCCCTTCTTGATCAACCCTAGATTCCGGTTCCAGAGTGGCGCAGCGGGTGAGAGGCGGACAAGGACAAACGGCGATCGGGCGAGCGCTGGGGGCGGCGCGGGCGGTGCCTGCAGAGGCGTCTGGGGGCGGGGTTTTAGTGGTTTTGTGCCTTTCTTCAGTGGATGCAGTGGGTGTAGTGGACTCGGTCGGGCTCAGCTCAGTGGACGGCCGCTGGCGCTGGGCTGGTAAATTTCTCAACGGCAAGGGGACCAAGTCTGGCCTCAGCTTCAGCCTCGCAAACAAACACGTTGTGTTGTGATGGTGACAGCAGGAGGCAGGCATCCATGGTCCATCGGCCGCGCAGGAAACTTCTATCCGCTCTGGGGTGACCGAGCGACTGCTCTTTACCCCTCTTTCACGTCGTACACGCCAACCAGTGGCCCCCAAGCCCAAGCCAAGCGTCCGGCTTCACCGAGCGGCAAGCAGTCAAGACAGGTATCGAGGTATTGCGGCACGGCTCACAGCGCCCCGTTCCACCGATCAAATACCTACGTATACCACCGGAAGCTGCAGATGGTGCCCACTGCGAGCCAATCTTGGCGCACCAAGCTCCGGAGCAACATCTTCAAACAGGCATCGTGTGGCCTAGGTCGCGGATGAGGCGGCGTCCAGGCCCTGCCATCGGCGACTTCGTCTCCACGGATACTGGTGATGCTGGTGCGTCGTGCTGCAGCCATGTTGAATAAGGAAGCTGCTCAAGGTTAAAAGCTAGAGCCACTGCTACCACTGCGGCCCGCATGGTGCCCCCATCCGTCTCGTGTGCCATGACCGCCTTCGACTGGTGCAGAGATTAGGCTAGACCGATATGCCGGCATGTCTGGGCTCATTTCCGCCACCATGCAAGGCCTTATTGTCAGCCGCACCAAGCAAAATATGCCCTATCTCGCCGAGTATGAAGCCAAGCCTTCTTGTATTTCCCTCGTCGTCGTCTTTCGCCAACGCTAATTCAAATCCAGTAACATTCTGATCCCAATTCTGGCCTTGACTCCTTCGCCGTGAACCATACATCAGAGGCTTGTTTGGCTGGGACGCCTTGCCTGCTTCATCGAGGCTGTGTGCCTAACCATCTCAGCTCGCCGATCGTAGGGCTACCTATGTCGACGCTGTCAATTGTTGCCTCGACCCCTTGAGCGCCAAGGGGCTACCTTCGACCATCCATTCTCTTGCATTCGTCTATCCGTACCCTTTGTCGTTTGCAAAGATTCAGTTTAAGTTAAGTTACGACCAAGTTGGCTTACCTGCCACGGCCGCAGGTACCCCTTCGGCATCTGACTGAGGCCGCGTATTCTGGGACCATCTACGTACACCTCGCACCATGCGCTTTGACGGTCACAACATTCACATCATTGAGTCAGGTCAAGATGTAGCATTTGAGGACACTGCGCCGCCACGCGAAAAGATGAAGCGCAGTGGCGACAGCCTTTGGTATGGAACCCAACTCGACATACAAACTGAGGCGCCGCGTGGCGCAACGGGGCGCTAACCTTTCCGGCAACACCACAGGCGAGTTTTGAGCGAGAGGAACATTAATGTACGGACCCTAGACTGAATGAGAGTCCGTTTGTTAACTGGTACAGATGATTGCATTCTCAGGGTATGTCCGCTACTGACGCCATGCACATGCTCGAGTTACTGAATGAGTTGGTAGCTCCATTGGCAATGGTAAGCCAAACGAACTATCGCGGCACAGCTTCAAGTATTGATTCGAATATTGTAGGTCTCTTTCTTGGAAGTGGAATTTCCATAGCTAGCGCAGGCCCGGGCGGCGCTGTCTTGAGCTATCTCATCGTCGGCACAGTCATCGCCTCCATCATCTCCTGCCTTGGGGAGATGACAGCCCTGATGCCTGTCAACGCCCCAATGATGGAATTTCCCCGCCGTTTTCTGGATCGTGGAGTTGGCTTCGCAGTTGGTTGGGTATACTGGTAAATACTACACGCAAAATATACATTTACCGCCTGCTAACCCCCCCAGGTTTGCATACGCTGTACTCGCAGCTAGCCAAGTTGTGGCATTTGCAAATGCAGTGAAATTTAGTTACGATGACACTCCCTTTGGTGGGAAAACAATCATACGTTGGAATATTGGCGAGAATGTCGACAGCGCCGTTTGGATCAGCATCTGCCTTGTGGTCATTGTCGTCATCAACTTCTTTCCCGTCATTGTAAGTGCCGTAATGTCTCGACCGAAGCACGTCTAACAGCGTGGCAGATATACGGCGAGCTCGAGTACATCTTTGGGTGTATCAAGTTGTCACTCATCGTTCTGTTGATAATGACCATGCTGGTGTTTGATGTGATGAAGCGTGAGTCAGTCGTGTCCAATTCTGTCCTTTACTAACTCCTTTAAGCTCTACCTGAAGCGTATTACACGGAGCCACTCGGCACTCAGTGTAAGTCACACCAATCCCGGAATCTGTTAGCTAGAAACTAAGCCGCAAAACCGAAGACTGGGACAAGCCCTACGGCTTCTTCAATGACGTGTATCATGTCACAGACGACGCTGGCAATGTGCAGCGGCAGATCACAGGCTCCATCGGCTCCCTCCTTGGCGTGTGGTAGGCAAATAGCCCCTACCAGCACAGCGAGACTTTCTAACTCATTAGGACCACCTTCATCAACGTCATGTTCTCCTACATTGGCATGGATATCGTCGCCGCCACCGCCGCCGAGAGCCGCGCCCTCGCCGACTCGGAGAGCATGAAGATGGCGGCACGCAAGATCAACATCCGCATTCTTACCCTCTACGCACTCGCCGTCCTCACCGCGTCCTTTGTCGTCCCCTACAACCATGCCTTTATCAACGGCGCTGGTACTTCCGTCAGCTCGCGCTCCGTCTTTGTCATTGCCGCTATCGAGGCGGGTGTGCCGGCGCTGGCCCAGTTTTTTAATGCCATGTTTGTCTTGTCCGCGTTTACCTGCGCCATCAACTCGCTCTACGTGGCGTCCCGCGTGCTGCATACGCTGGCGCTCCGCGGCCAGACGGGGCCCGAGTTCATCACCAGACGGCTGCGCGCGTGCCGCTCTGGCGTGCCGATCCGAGCCGTGGTGGCAACGGCCATGCTGATGCTCATAGCCTACATGGGTCGATCCGGCTCTCCTGGTTCTGTAAGTCATGCACGAACAAATGCACGGATATTTCTTTCGCTAACCTCTACAGCGCCTCGATGAGCTATCCGTCAATTGCACCGTCTCCTGCCTGATTGTATACGCCACCATCTGCGCCACCTACATGCGCTTTTACAATACGTGCGGCCGACCGCTGTAAACCCCGTGCATTTGGCAATCATTACTGACGCAGCCCCATAGGTTAGAAGTCGCCAAGATGAGCGAAGACACGTCCGCCGCGCAAGCAGCCAGCTACGACCGAGACAGCCCGCTGTACCCGTACAAGTCCCACGGTCAGTGGCTCAAGGCGTTTTACGGACTTGTCGGCAGCTGCATTCTCCTTTTGTTCAACGGGGTGCCGGCGTTTCTCGAGAAGCCATTCAATGTGCGCAAGTTTGTCTCGGCGTACGTCGGTGTATGTACTCCAGCTCTGCCTCGCCTTTGTCCACTCTCTTCTGACGCCATGTACATCTAGATCCCCGTGTACATCCTACTCGTCGTGGGGTACAAATTCCGGAAGCACGGGTTCCGCATCTCGCAGTGGGGTCCGGAACGATCTGACGACCTGAGCAACACGGTGCAGGCGGCAAGCGAGAAGCGCCGCGGACGGCTCAATTTGCCCGACTGGGGATTTACGAGGGCCAACGTGGAAGCGCTTGGGCACTGGCTGTGGGTTTGGATCAAGTAACCGTGGAAAAAAAGCCCTTGGCTGTGTTGCTGCTTGAGCCTATGTTTGCTTTCCTATTCTTGTCATTGGCGAATTGGTATGCCACTTAATTCTGGACTTTTAATCTTCGTTTCTTTCGCTTGTTCAATGTACCTACCCTATAGCTGCTGCACCAAATCAGCCACTGCGCGCCCGAGACTGCGTTTCCAGCCGGGAGAAGGTAAAAGAGTGCAAGAGAATGGCGTAGGGGGAGAGCTCCCAACCCACAGGTTTCGGTGCTCCTCAATCGGGAATCGGAGAGGCTCCGGTGGCAGCGGCTCGGAGCGGCCCACAGGTGGGGTCGGGAAACTACCTATGTAAGAAGCTACGAGGACAACTTGTCGAGTAGTGCCTACGGCGGATGAGAACAATCAGTCAAGCCGCAAGTGAAGAATCCAAGATAACTGAAATTAGCAGAGGCTATGGATTTGTTTTAAATCTTGTATATCACAAGATTGGCATCTACAGTCATGCTTCTAGCCCAGGTGCCAGTCCCCCATGCGCCTCCTACAGTGACCAAATATACATTTCTGGCGGCCATGTCACCGAAAAGATCGAAAAGCCTTGGTTCCCGCTGGTGATGCTATGCCGAGCGCATTGACATGAAGCTCTTCACGAGCACGGTTGCCCCCCATGGTCGGCGTGTTGGCGCAGAATGCGCAAATGTAGACATTAGGCATGGTGCGCTTTGTGATGCCCAGGCAATTGCCGTGAAGCCACATTTCGCATGAATCACTGGGCACCATGTCAGCATTTGGAAGCGTACAATCCCCGAGGCCGGGAAAGCTCACCATTGTATCATAAATGCATTTTTGCTGGAGGTGGTTTGTTTGCACACACAGCGGATGCCATCCGTACCGTAGCCAGACTCAGCAATGCTACAGGGGGAGACCGTCTCACTTGGGGGGTAGGTCAGACTGTTATGCAGCATTTGCAAATAGGCCGGGGTCTTGTTGCGGCTTTCGACAAGTTTGACGAGCTCACTGGCAGCGTCTCCGCCGCGGCCACGCTGCTCATTCAGGATCGTTTCAGCTTCGCTTTCGTCGCCATTTTGCTCGCCGCCTTCTCCACCGGCAGAACTGCTACTTCTATCGCTTGTACTACGCCTGGGGCGGTGAAATATGGATCCGACGGGTTTCCGGGGATCGGGGAGCGCAAAGGATGCGCAGAATGAGTTGTTGCGCGAGGGGATGATGATAGGGTCTTCGTCTTCAGATTCGGAGTCGGAAGACGCGTCCCGGGTTGAGCGAGATGGCAAGTCGCGACTGCTTTGGCTTCTTGGCAAGCTTTGGCTGACGTTGCACTGGCCCTCCAAAGTAGTTTCTGCTCTGGCAAAGCCTCGTGCATCGATAGTAAATCGGACAGACGCACGTTGTCTGGCCGATGATGATTCCCGTATCGAGGCTAGCGAGGAAAGTCGGTGCTGGTGCTTCACGGGCGATACTCTTCCATTTGGTCGGGTCATTGGGCGACCTGTATCAGTAGATCCTCCGGCGACCTGGGCCATGGATCGAGAAGCAGGAGCTAGTGTCGGCAGTGTGTTGCTTCTGACCAACGCTGCACCGCCACGAGGGTTGCCCACCGGTTGATCGACTCCGCTTCGAGAATGTTTGAGGGGTGAGCTGGCCAGCGCCCGGTCCGGGCCTTTGTTTGCGCTTTGGGATGTATTGCTTCCCGTCTGACGATTTACCGCCTTCGTGGTCGCCTTCGTGGTCGTCTTCTTGGTCGTCTTCGTGGCGACTTTTCCTATCGCAACTTTGGGGGCGGCCACCGTCTGCTGCTCCACTGCAGCAAAACTCGGCATGGCACTATCTTGGCTCAGCATGAGGCTAGGATCAACCATGTCTCCGGGATTGATCATGGAGAATGGATCACCAAGCTGTTGGGGGTACTGGTGCATTGCCAAGTTACCGAGCTGCTGTGGTTGGACATTTTCCTGATTCGATGATGGCGGCACCAAACCGGTATCCTGGAAAAGCTGAATGTCGTTGTGCCAGTCAAATGAGCCAGTATGTCGGTGCCCAGCAGCTGGCGAGGGAAACATGCCGTGGGTTGCAGCATTGAAATCTAGATCCATACCCATGGAAGCTTGTGGGTCCCAAAAATTGGCAGGAGCAGCGGCTGGCGCGGACAAAGGGTAGGAAAACATGTCGCCTGGGTTGGCCATGAGTGCTGTTACATCGTGGGCCTGGGATACCTCGTTAAAGTCTGGTTGGTGAAAGGGCTGTTCATATTGCATGTTGAGCTTAGGGGCGAGCTTCTGCTCTCCCTTGTGTGCGGTTGGTGGTGGAGATATGATATGGGATTCTGGGTCTTTGGTAATTGTGCCTCGACGAAGCTTTTTGGCAGACCTGGAATTGTTGAGAGAGGGGCTGGAGACGGGGGTGATCTGTCGTGCAGTGGTTTTGGAGTTGTTCAAGCTCGGGGAGGAAGCGAGTCGTCTCGAAGGGTCGACAGGTGGCAAGTTTGGGTTGGGCGAAAAGTGGTTGTCATGGGTTGCAATTGCGTGGGCAAAGCCTTCGGCGGAGAGCATCCGCTTATGGGAGCTTGCGGGCGTAGGCGGTACAAAATCAGGAAACTGCACTTGTGAGCCTCTGAGATTGCCAGGTGTAGCGTTAAAAACGGAATATTCCTCGGCAAAGCGAGGTGTCGAGCCACCCAAGTCGGTGAAGGAACCGTGCGGTGGCCGGGGTGTCTCGAAGACGGGACTGGCAAACGATGTAGAGGTTGGAGTTTGTTGAGGGGTAGGCGGTTGAGCGTTTGGATCTCCAAAGCTGCTAAAGGTGGAAGAATAGTTAGCCCATGGGACGAGGTGGGAATGGCGACCCGAGAGAGGTCGAGGCGAGAGAGATACTAACGTTGAATCACGACGCAGGTTGCTCATAGCAGCTCCAAAGTAACGCTCACTAGAGCCGAGGAAGTAACATGCCAGATGGAAATAGAGGTGGCAAAGAATGGCCGTGAGATGCAAGACGATATAGGAAGAAGTCGACAATTGTCTCGAGGCGGAAATGTTTCTTTGCTTCGAGGTTCTTTTTTTTTCGAGCGGGTATGCAGTCTGGAGAGAGTATGTGGGGATTGGTAGTGTGTCACAGCAACGACGATGCAAAACGGCCAATTCGAATATAAGCGGATAAAGCTGGCGAGAGCTGAATGAAGGAAAGAGAGGATTGGAAGAGATGATTGTTTGCAATAGAGAAATTATACAAAGGTCTTTGAGGAGTGATGACAAGACCGACGAGGTCGAGCGATGTAGAGGAGCAAGCAAACACTGTCAAGGGTGATGAAAGTAAGCGGGCTGCAAAAGCGGGTGGAAGTCAAGGGAGGCCGGCGGACGGAGCATAGCGTGGAGGAGCAACGCAACAGAAAGCAGTGCCAAGCACATTCTCTATGTAGCTAGCTCAAAGACAGAACAGCATGAAAGACAGGTAGTTAGCTTACCAAGTTATCCGTAGTTAGCAGCGAGAGCAAGACAGGGCGAAAGGAGGAGGCGCAGGAGCAAGTTGAGGGAGCGAGTAACCAGGGGACGGACGGGCGGGAGAGTTGTCAGGGCGGGCAGACCTAGATGCGGTGTTGCAGTGGATGATTGGAGCAAAGACGGTTCGGGCAGGGCAGAATTGAGGAACAGAAATAGAAACAAGACTGGCAAATGCAGATGAGATGATGAAAAGTGACTGGTGAGGTTGGAGATGTTTGGTAAGGCTTGGTCAGAGCTGGCTCTGCTCGCTGTAGTATTTCTGTCCAACAAAACAATCTTGGAAATGTTACGGACGATGGCGGCAGCTGCACGGGCGTCGGGCTGAGGGGTGGACGATACCTGGGCCAGGGTGAGCAGCTAGGCATATTTGAGGTATCGTGGCGACAGGCGCACGACAGGAGGACAGGCAGCACTAACACGGACACGACTACCGCCGACAACTACCTCGCATTTGACTCTGATGAGCAGGCAAAAGAAAAGGGCTACAGTACTCCACCAGAAGGCAACCAGACAAGAGTTTCTCCATCTACAAAGAGGCTAGCAGCCGACTAGCTGCGGGTGGCACGCCGTGAATTGTCTCCTCCAAGCGTCCTACTGGTTGGACGTGGCTCGCTCGGGCTGTTGGAGCATGTTGATTAGCGGCATCTGCTGCCCTGGCTAGACGGCCTAGCACTGCTGATTCTTTTGGCTGGCGCGGGTCGCTACGGGGAGCGGAGCTCGTGTCCACCACATACCACGAAACAAGCAAAGAGAAAAGAGCGCCTTGAGCTGGGCCGCCGGAGAGCCAGTCAATCTGGGCGGCGGGCCTAGCTCTGATGCAGGTAGCAGATGCAGGAGCTTGGTGGTGGTGGTGGTTATGATGGTCGTCTTGTTTGGAAGACGATGCGATGTAAGACCTTTGATAGGACGACGTGGAATAACTATGTGCAGACAGTACGGAGTACGTACTCCGTACGGCTTAAGATACAGCTCAATCAGGTACATTAGTACAAATTACAGGTACGAACCTACGAATTAGTAGGCACGCTTCCCTGTTTTCCAGGCAGTCCGTTCCGAACCCTGCCACCGCCAGTGCCACCACCGCCACAGAGGCTGGTGCACACATAATAAAATCCTCACGATAACACAGACAAACACACACAACCTGGTTTTCAGCCCTGGAAATCCCTATCAGATCAACCAGTCATGTCACAGTCTACCTGCTCTTTTTCTCGTTTCTTCTCCTTCCTTACTCTCCTCCTCCTCCTCCACCGATCGACCCCCGCCCGACTCCCATCCTAATTTCGTTTCTACCCCTCCCTCCGCTCCCGAAAGTTCGGCTATTTGTCTTTACTTCCGTAGTAACCTTTACCTCCGTCCAGATGAGCAACTTTTTCCAGCTCCCGACTAAACCATCCTCTTTTTAGCTCGCTCCCACTCGGCGCCGCCCACAGTCCATCACGGAGTCGTCGGCAGCCAACTTACCTCGTCCGCCGCAGTCTCGTACCGCCAGCCAACCGTGAGCCGGCGCCGGTTGGGCCTTGGCGCCTCGTGCCTCCAAAAACCGGCCCCTTTCGTCCTCTAGCCAGACAGGAGAATAAACTCTCGCAATGTTGCGCGTCCCGTCAATCGCTGGCCACTCGGGCAGTTATGGCTCCGTTTTTGAGTTTGCTCCAGCCTACCCCTCTCGAATCAAGGGAGACTACAAATGGCTCCGTACTGGCGCTGGATAAAAAAAAGTCCTGACTGTCGCGCAACAATGACAAACGAATTGCGCCACAGGGCTACAAACTTGCAAATCTCGGTCTTATCGGCGATGAGAAAGAAACTGAAGGGCCAACTCTCCCCTCAGTGTGGTCCGCTCACCATTGCTGTGCATCGGAAGCTCGCCAGCTTCGTCATGATGTCCGCCATTAGTCCCGTTGCCGACGGCAAGACACGGCAATGATCATGAACTAACTGCACCAATCCACCATGCACACTTGCACCATTGCATGTATGGCCTACTAAGACTGCTCCCCGCGCTCGATCCAGGAACCAATTACCATGACCCTCATATCAGCTGCCACCTCCACCCGACTCTTGCCTGTTCCCGGCCGCCCTTGGTCCTTATCCTCCGCGGCATGGACCCGTAGACAGCCGACTCCCGCCCGCCGAGCTTGAGCAGGCTTGACATTGACTAGCTCAACCGTTCCCTTGGAACGCTAACTCGCGGTAGCTGCAACCCTCCATCGCTCCAGGGCCCAGATGCAAGTATCTGCAAAGCTTCTACGGTCTAACACCTCTCACAAGGCTTTGCCGCGTGAGTCCTGCAATCTCAGGAAACGGATTCCGTGTCGAGACGCATGCGGCCACCGTACTACATGAGCGAGCGAGTCCCATCAGCATGTCACTACCGATGCTATTCTCCGATTACTTCGGATCGCGGGAGAGGACACCGTAATCTCTCGGCCATCGAGCCTCGAGCTCCATCCGAAGGCCCCTCCAGACCTAGGCTCCAGGCTCTTGAGTCAAAACTGGCAGCGGGGTAACTAACAGAATTCCGATGATGTCCTGCTATTTTTCGATTCCACATGTCATCTCTTTTGGTCATCATTGCTCACCTCTAGGTTCGTCCGGCTTTGGCCAGCTAGGCCAGCTCCATATCTAGCGAAGGCAGTCCCAGCTACTACTACTTTCTAGCCAAAAGTCACACAACATTAACAAAATAGCGACCATGGGCCTAGACATCGCATTACGAAGTCACCAGCCCATGGGTGCTCTCACATGCATTCGTATCTGACTAGATGCCAACACATGGTCACATTTAGCCTAAGAATCATCCTCAGCCAACTAGATTTCATTCGAGGTTCTGTAGCTCTATCAGAGGCACTACGAATAGACTCGGCGTGTCATTTGATGGCCTCTATGATTCTGACATGTCAGCTGTTTGTCAGTTTTGCAAAACCAGCGGTGCCCATGTAGCTTTCTTTATTTGGCCCAGGCCCAGGCCCTTCGCAAATAGGCGCTTGCTTGCAGAGCTCAAGTTCGTTTGGTTAGCCACGCAAACATGCTCGTGAGCAGCATGTTCGGGCAACACGAGACGAGGATCAGCCCCCCGGACTTGGGTCCCCCACGAAGAAGTGGCAGCAAGCTGGAAACCCCATCCCATGTTCAATTCACGATCGGGTTCCCACCAGACAGGGGTCCCGCACCCATCGTGCCATCTTCAGCAGCGTGGCACCATTCCCGCCCACAAAGGAGTTGTGTATGGATCCTAGAGACGGTGATTCCCTGCTCTGCTGAAAAAGTCCCCTGCTGTAGGATATCCTCCCATCTGGATACTGCTTTTGGAGGATGGGGAAGGTGGAAATTGCGCCTCTCCACCATGATCGCTGTCTCCCCCGGTTAGGGTACACTTCTGCCTACCCTACAGAAGATACTAACATCGCGTTGAACTCAGCAAGCGGCATCACAGCGACATAGGAAGTAGCCTGCGGGAATTATCTGTGAGCTTTTTTTGTGCGATTTGTCATCTCAGTGTGATTCCATCCGGTGAAAGCGAAGAGGAGGGGGTACACGCTACCCTCTCCTGTCTGTTGGCTGCAACCGATGAGACATCGCCGGAGTCGTATACCGTTGTTTGCACCCCGCTGTCATGGTTGTTCGTTGTACAAAGTTTCCTCTTTACTGCCAACGCCTTTTAGACTCGATTAATCCCTGCCATAGGTTACCTAGCTACATAAAAGTTGTTTGCTGGATGGGATATGGTCTACAAGCACAGAGAAAGTAAAAGATCATCAGCTCTGGCTTCTGACATTCTCACACCCCCCAACGAGTTGGTCATGAGTGTATTCGATATCTCTAATACAAATGAACCGGTAACTGTAGAGTCCCTTTCTGCGCCCAGAGTCCTTGAAAAGGCTAGGTCTACTTCTCCTCGCTGGCAGTTTGCACCCGCTTCACGGATTGTACTCTGGCCTGGCTCGTTAGCAAGGCTTCCTATCGCTTGTCTTCTTACAATGATGGCAGCTACTACGATATGGGCTGTTGTTCCAGTATGGAATGTAATTTTTTTTTTGACACGGATGAACTTCTTTCGGAGCTGCTGTCTTGTACTCGGTGACGTGCGTGATGTTGGCGCCGTCCCGCAGAGATGGACTGTGACGCAAGGAAAGCTCCAATATATTGTATGACAGAATGAATATAAATAACGTCATCTGCTTCTATTTAAGTTTTGAGAAGGCGTAGTTGCACTGCACTGCTGCGGGCGAAAGTTCAGACCACTTTGGAGAGCCAACAGCCTGGAATCGCCGAACAACGGTAGCTCCAATAACGGTAACATACGACTATGAACAGAAGTTTCAGCCGAGAGACTTTACTAAGAGATAACAGTATAGTGAAGCCAAAGTACATTCTCTCGATGTGAAGATAGTTATGCCCAAATCGACAGGGTGCACTGGGTGTTGCGTTTAGGATAGACATCCGTTTACAAGCCACCCAGCGTTCAGATTCCACAACGTAAAATATTGCAAGAATGTTTATTTACTTATTCTTTCTTCACTTTGGAGCCAGAACGCCTGCTATTTTATAAGAGATGGCTTTTCTGGTGTCACTGGCTTGTGTATCCAAGCCAGGGCCAACACACATCATCGTAGTAGCAGACAAGTTTTCAACTCTAATTATTACAAACGGCAAGTGACTATTTCTTGGTTGTATAAGCCGCTTCGATGCATGTGCTCCAATTAACAATACTATGTCAATGCTTCTTATCTGTTTACTCATTGATACTGAATTCGATAGAAGTCGGCTATACCGTCAACTGAATGAATGCCCCAGGAGCCTATAGTCCATCTGCAGTAGATACCCTACAGGTGATTTGCTGCGAGGTTACCCCAGTGCCAAGCTCTCGACAGGAGTCTGGCAACGTGCAGGCAGATGGACTGGACTATACACCGAAGTACGGGGTGCTCCATTCAAAGATGGCGAAATTATAGAATCAGAAGCATAGCGAGGCATTAACGCGGGCTAACTTGTTTAAATTTGTTGGTCAATAATTCACTGGCGCATATAGAGTCCAACCGACACGCAGTAGTTGGCACGATTCGAACAAACAATAGAGGTAAAGCAAATGTTTCTTATCAGCGTCAACATATCAAACCGCCAAATGGGGTCATATCAAAGTCAAAGTCAGCACGTTCCTGATGCACGGGAACTCACTGGTCAGTTCTTGACGACGGCCAGCGTTTGGATATGGTGTCGTTTTGGTTTGATGCGGCCGGAGACTGCCCGAGTGCATGCGCATAACTGGCAGTTGGCTCGCCTGCGAACCTTCTTCATTCTTGGGATGAAACCGACATGATTTTCCGTTAAAGCGCCCTGTTCCTGGCGGCAGTTGCAAGGCGCACACACAACGGTTTTTTTCTTTTTGGGCTCAGGCTTGGACCGAGTCGTCCAATATCTGCAACCCGTCTCCCGCGGCATGGTTCCCGTCTCCCGCGGCATGGTTGAGCGTGAGCATATATATGCACGACATTGTGCAGGGCGTAGCTCCTCGGCTAGCGGCAACAATGACCCTTTGCATGGCAGAACCAAGGTGCCAAGCAATAGTTAGGCAACCAGCAGCGCGCGCCCGCGCCGGTTGCTTCTAGTCTATCCAAAAGGCTGGGCGGGCAAGTCTGCGACACACACACGTCGATGTTGAACGAATTTGTTTGGGCTCGACGTGGTTTTTTTTTCGGTTTACAAATGACCCGGTCCCAGAAACTAACCACTTGTGCCCGCAGAACGCGGGCTGTGGGAAGGGGAAGAGAGAGAGAAGGGGGCAGGCGGGGGGGGCGGAAGTTGACAGCGCACAGAGAGGGCAGGCGATCATGACCTTTTCGGATTTTAAAGTTTGGCTTTCCCTATGAAGCACCGAGGGAACAATAGGAGTGGAGGCCGGGACCTGCAGCGAGCACTGATAGCAAGCGCAATTGCGAGCCGTGTTTCAACAGCTTGGGCGTTGAGTAATACGGAGTAGCAACGAGTTGGCCGGCAAAAATAAGCCACCCTTTTTTTTCGGGCATCTGGACAAGGCGCGCCGAAACGACCAATGGGTTGTTAGAGCCACAGAACTCGCAACAAGAGGAGGCAAGCGAGTCAAAGTCAAAGTTTAAAGTTAACCTTGTCGGGGTTCTGGCAAGTTCAGCTGTGGCTTGCACTTTCCAGCCAACGGATGCTCGGCATCTTTGTCAAATTCTCGCGTCTTGCGAACAATGATTAGTGTTCCTTGCTGATCAACGGCGTCCGTCTTCTAGAAATTTTCTAGCTTTTTCTGGGTTTTTCGTTTTTGTTAGCTTCTGTCTAGTTTGGATGGGATGCCAAGATGGAGAGAGAGAGGGGCTGGTGGGCTTGACGCATGGTGGTTCCCCCTCAACTCTACGCCTATTATAAACTAATAAGTTATCTGCTCAAAAGGAAGTCACCATCGGTTAAACAAAGAGTCAAGTACAAATTGCTGTGCGTGTGCTTGGACCATGCACGACACACAATCGGGATGCACGCGCTTTCATCCCCGATGCGGGCGATCTCTCTCCAACTACATACTTGCCAGCGGATAATTGGGGAGAGGGGGGGTGTTGTCTCAGAGTCTCAGATATGAGGCCATCGGACCGCAGGGCTGGTTGGCCGGGGTCCGGCTCAGACAAGAGCCGATGGCAGTCTACCAAGGCAACGACATCATCCCGTCTACAACTAGTAGTTAGTTTGAGGGCGAAAGAGAAGAATATGTCAACGTGGCACATGTGAGAAAAGGTGGAATGACCCGGCAAGTCTATTTGAAGAGAAAAGATGGCAAAGATACTTTTTTTGCCAGTCTGTATCCTGGACCTTTTTGTAACATGAGCTGTGGGTTCGGTTCACCAGCGTCGCACCATCAAGAGGAGGCGTTGAAAGGCTCACGCTTCACTGGTCTTTTTTCTACCGTCGGTAGGCCGAAAAGGGACATTTGGGCTCGGTAATATCCGACAGATGCATATGGAGAACAAAGGGCAGCCAAAAAAAAAAAAAAAAAAAAGGTAACAGGGAGCACATGTTTTGTCTGCTTCTCGGCACAACTCCCAACATCCTTGCTTTGAGACGCTGGTCTGGCTGGCCCTCGGAAATGGGGTTCCCTTGCTTTCCGCCTTTTTGGGGGCGAGTTTGCCAGTTGAATCGATCGCGTCTTTTCTTATTCATGCCATGATCGAACAGAACAAATAGAATGATCCAAAGAACAAGTCAGGAATAACCTTTTCCCTTCCGTCTCAAGTCTGCTACTCAGCATCCCTGACATATATAGCCCTGCTGCTTCAATATGCTGCTTCAATATGCCCGCGCAGCGCCCGCCGCGCCCCAGTGAAAGCTGGCACTTGGGACTTCTTGTCTGGACCATGACACGAGGGGGGGGGGCACAAGGTCGCGTAGAAAGCGCCGGAGGGTTATCCGGCGAGTTGGGTTCCGTTATGATTTGCCATGCATACATAGGATGCCTCTCTACTGTCTCGATCTCGCTCTCCAAATCGTGCGTCCCCCTCCCCCCAGATTGCTTTTTTGTCTTGGTCGTCCGGCCCCCCCGTGCCTGGGCCGTCTGTTCATGCCGCAGAAACGCAAGCCGCTCAGGGTACTTGTAGTTATGCCATGCCATGAAGAGGAAACAGACTAACTTTTGTACGATATTAAGTAAAAAACAGAGAATGCGCGAAATAGCGCCCGTTATAGACATGCATGCTTTCAGGCAGCCACAAGAGAAAATCGTCTGCCGCTGCCGGTGCCGTCATTGGCTCTGGCTCTCGGGTTCCTTTTCCCATGCCGATACCTCTTATTACTTACATGACGCACCTCGCTCCCCTCCCCTTCCTCCCCCCCCCTCCCCCGGGGCCAGGTCCGCCCCGCCGGCCTTTCTCGACATCTCCATCTCTCTGTTAACCCACAGAGGCGCATGAAATCATGGCCTCGTTATCAGAGCTGAGCAGGCATCTGGGCCAATGTGCCGTCCGCCTCGGCATTCTTTCTGCCCACTGAGAGGGCTAGGCAGAAACGGGGCCTGACGAGAGTCCACTCCTATAACCCCAACCCCGGTCCTTAACAGGAGGGGCGCAGGAGAGTTTTGGAAATCAACGCGGCCTTCCGTTTTGTTCCTTCTATTCTTCTTCGTGGCGACTGACCCGCCTGACATTTCAGCCTGGCCTGGATCGGGTTGATTGCGGATCGTGCAAGTCACGGCGTAGAGTGAGTTCACGGCGTAGAGTGAGTGAGCATCCGCCTTTGTGGCAGTTGTCTTCTCGAGGTAGTTAGCGTAACTAGAACGACGGTTCTTTTCTAGAAGATTTGCACTCGAATTCGTCATCGTAAGCATGATCATACACTGTTGTATTTGCTAGCTATGCTAAGAGTCTCAAATCGGATAAGAGTAACAAGAAAAAACAAATCCAAAGTGCCAACACAAACTGATTCGTGGCATGGGCGCCACTGGCCCATACGTGTACATACATCATAGAAGGCGTGTTATCTAAGCCCCGTTTCCCGTGTCCCGTCATACCCCAAGTCTATGTTAACAAAGGAAATATACTCACACAACTAAAACAAAACAAAAGTGCTAACAGAAGAAGAAGAAAAGAAGAAAAGACACTAAAACAGGATCCATAATATGAAAATGTGTCGGGCAAATGACGGAAGAGAAGAAGAAAAAGGGTCGAAAAGAGGCATCCAATCAACCGATGGCATAAGAATAGATGTGCGCCACGAGCCCCAAGGCTGGTCCATGATTCAAGGCACCCACCTCTGCAACACGTACCAAAAGCTTGCGTGCCCTATATCACATTGCCATACATTGTGGCGGGGCTCGATAGTAGCGTGCGGCCGACGCTGGATCGCAGAGACTGGGGTGGTGTCAATGGGCCAAGTGCCTGATGGTGGTGTGGGTGGTGCTGTTGCGGGTGCATGTACTGCGGGATGGATGTGTTGATGCCTCCACCACCCATGCTCGCGTACGACGCGGTTGAGAGACCGTGAGGCAACGTCAGCGGCGGCGTGCCTGGCCGTTGGTGGTGATCGTGTAAGCCGCCGAGCCCCATGGAGGATAGAGGAGGGCCGGGCATGCGCGGGTTGTGCACCTGGTCTCTTCTCCGTTTGGGGGTATCCTTGATTTTGGCGTGAGAGTGACACTGTAGAGAAGCTGGTTAGTCGTTTCCATTCGTAGGCTTCCTCTGTCTGATACAGGAAAGTAAGGGTCTGCCTACCTTGTATGCATGGCGGAACCAAGTCGTGCCCTTCTTCTTGCTGCTCACCAGCGCAATCCACTTGTTGCAGCTCCCGCACAGTCCCTCCCAAACATCTGGGTTGCCGTCCATCCGCCTCTTGTCCAGAGGCTCCTGGAATGGCGCGCCCGTGGCGGCGCTGATGCCGTGTGTGAATGACTTGTCGTACCAGTAGGCCGAGTTCTTCAGCACCAGCCAGCGGCCGGGTTTGCAGATGCCGCACCAGCCCTCGCGCTTGTTGCCGTGGCCGCGCACCCATTTAGGCGTGTACATGTCGCCATCAAAGCGAAGCTCCTGCTCGTACGGGACCAGGTCCGGGTCCGACGGGTTCATGTCCTCGGCTGGCGGCGGCGCCGGCTCTTGATGGAGGGCGGGGTACAGGTCGGGGGGTGCTGAGAGGTCTGCGTAGTGACCGTGGAAAGACTGCGACTCGATGTTGTTTTGCAAGAGCTTGAGGAGGCCATGCGATGCCAAGGTCGGGGGTTGCGGCAGGCTGTGGTGACTGTTGTCGTGATGCATGGCGTGCGAGGTCGGTAGCTGATGACCCATGTGCGAACCCATCATCACACTGCTGTTTCGGTAACCACCCATAGGCATAGAGGGCACATACGATGGTTGCATGGGCATAGTGCTTCCAGGTCCCGAAACCATGCTGTGGGGCATCGGTGCCATCGAAGACGAGGTCGGTGCCTGCATCGAATATCGCTGCGAAGGCATGGTGGAGTCGGGCATGGATCCATAGCCAAAGGGCGACTGGAGGCGGCCTTGTCCAACATTCTGGGATCCGGTAGACCATCTAGTCGTGTTGCGGAGGCCCTCGGTGCTGTACGGCGCGGAGCGCATGCTGGGTCGGGGAGAAGGCGAGGCGCGGCCGCGGCTCTGCGCTCGCATCTGGTCTGGTCTGCTCTGGGGCGTTAGACGAGGCGAGCCGACTGGCGACATGTGCGTCGTGGACATTAACGATGTTCGGTTGGATAGTGTGCCGTAGTCTGAAAAGGTAGGCGCCTCGGAGAGCGTAGTCGATCCATCGTCGCCGCCGCCGCAAGTGGCTGGCATATCGGAGAAAGCGGTAGGAGTCGACATGCCGATGGAGGAATCGGGGCGACGGTTTGCCGTGTGGTCAGAGTAGGAAGAGCCTAGCTCATGACGGGATTGGGAGAATCGCAAGTCAATAATGGGAATGCTCTCGTCGGTGGTGTACGCCTGACCGATGGGGGCGTCGGGGTCAAAGGGATAAAATTCAAACTGGTCGTAAGACTTTTGGCCCCAGCTCCCTAACGTCTCGTTAGGCACTGTCTGCGAAGGATTCCAGGAAACATCTGCTGCCCTACCGTCTTTGACCAGTGATTGTGGCAGTTGCCCGGGGTAGACGAGGCCAGACTTGCCAGGCAAGGTTGATCTGGGTGTTATAGAATGATCCCACCCAGCTGTAGTGGACTGGTGATGCTCCTCAGAGCAGCAAGGAATCTGTGATGAATGATTGGACGAGCTGTCCTGTAAGTTTAGGCCAGGTTGTGGCATCCAGGCGCTCATGGGGGGCTGGAGATCTGCTGAGGTGGAATTGTTGGTCTGTTGGGCATCCAGAGTGGTCGGCGGCGTCGCTGGCGCCACATGCTCAGCCGGCCGCTCCATTGATGGCGATGTTGAGTACATGATTTATACAGGGCACGCGTGAGTCGTCGAAATAGAAACAGGTCGTGATGCCCAAGTGCGAGGAGAATTTGCTCAAGGACGCAGAGGGCGTGAGCTGTCGAGACAAGGCCCGAAAGAGATGACGTTTTCGGCAGTGCAAGCTAACGTTGCTCGTAGGGCGAGTATAATGCTGCCGAATAAGAATGCTTTTTTTTTCCTTTTTGGTGAGCTGTGATGGCTTGTACAACACGATGCTGTGTGACTGTAATGAGAAATGGCAGGGCACGATGGCTGTATAAGAGAAGACGGAAGAAAGATGCCGATGCGGAAGTGGAAAGGGAGGAAAACAGAGTGGATAATATAATAAAAGAAAGCTATTGTTTTCGAAACAATGCGGTCGTGTTGTGTGTGTGTATGAATAATGAACAACTGCGTAGAGAACCGGCTCTGGGGGAACGGGGTACTATTAAGTCTTTGGTGGGCGTAATAAGAAGCCGAGAAAAAGAGTAGTTATTAAAGAGGGCCTAGATAGAAAGGGCCAAAAAGGCATAAAATGGCTGAAGGAGTGTATATATGAGTGTGTGTGGGAAAAGAAGGAAGAAGGAGCACGGTACCTGGGCGCAGGCAAAGGGAAAAGGCGATGGGCCACACACCCCAGGCCACTGAGAGTCTGTGGTTTTAGCAGGCAGCAAGTTAGTCGATGGGAAGGTATAACGGGTTACGGGTTACGGGTTTACAGGTAACAGGAACAAGTCTGGGTCGGCCGCCCACATCACCCACATCACCCACATCAGCACCGAGACGGAGGAGAACGCGCAACAGGGACCACGATGCCCAGCAAAAGACCAAGCTGGCCAGCTCAAAAGAGAGTTCAAGGGGTATACCAGAACTTGCGCTGCATATTTTTGGGGCCGATTCTTGAGGGCGCGGCGACGCCCCCCCCCGTCTCCTCCCACGCCCCGAGCGAGAGAGAGAGCAAAGGGCCCCCACGATCAAAATATGGCCCCCCCCCAGTCTGGCTTCTGCCTGCGACGAGCATCTGGCGCGCGTTGTCCGGGACAGGCACGGGTACAGTACGTCTGTGTATTGGAAAGGGTGTGTGTGGTGGTCGTGGAGTTGCAAGGGGTGCCTATAGGTAAAAGAAAAAAAAAGGAAAAAAATCGTTGGAAGAGCGTTGGGAGGAGAACGAGGGTCCCCCGATTAGGTCAAGGCTGTTTGAGTTGGGCTTGTCAAAACCAACCCAAGTAGTTAGTGAAAACCAAGGAACAACTGGTCGATGACTCGGACCGGCTGATTGTTGCTGGCTGGGCTCTCTCTGCCATGTGCTGGTGGTGCCATGGCTTCGGCAGCGGAAACAGAAGGCTTTCGTGGGGAGGCACTATAAGCGAAAGAAAAGGTTGGTTGTTTAGTTAGTTGACTACCTAGTAGGTAAAAATAGCTTTTCCCTGGTGCACGGCTCTTTGGCCGAAATGGCTGAATGCCTAGCTAGGCACCTACATATACGCGGGTAACAAGCCTAGTCAGTGTTGAGTCTCGCTGGGGCTGTACAAGGCCGATGCCTAAACACGTGCGTATTCTTTTATTTCCTTTACCCGGAAATGTATTTTAAGCTGTACCTTTTTTATTTCTATTTTTCCCTTTATTTTTCACTGATTTGCAAAGAGTTCCAAGGAGTTGTCGGGGGGCGTGTTTCTGGAGTTTCAAGTTTGGTTGAAAAAGCGGGTTGTGGCTCGCTGTGGTGGGCAAAGCAACCAGTAGGAAGAGGCCGGTCGAAGAGAAGATGCAAAAAAGGGCAAAAGACGAATCAGGACCCGTTGTTGGGCTTTCTGCTGGGGGGGGGGGGAGGAGATGGGGGACGTGGGAAGGGCCAGACCGACCACCAAAGCTTTCGGGCAGGGCTGGGCAGCCAAAAGGTGCCAGAGGTCAAGCTGATGCGTTATCAATGTGGTGGTGGAGGTCTCGTCGTGATTCGGAATGCTCTTGGGGACCGCGTACGTGTGCACTTGTTGCATTTACACTAGTTGCATGTTTTTGCATTTCTTCCACGCTTCTTCCCATTGATGGTCCTGGTCATGCCGGACCACGGCCAAGCTCGCACTTCGGATGATTTGGAAACCTGCGCGTGTAGGGCGGGCGACGACGCTGTCGCCGACGACGAGAAGCTTATTCCGGCGGCTTTTATCTCGGCGAGCACGCATGTTTCAGGGCCGGGGGGCGAGGCCGCCGGTTTGCATTTCATTACAAGCCAAGGGTAGAATCGTGAGTCGAGCTCGCATTGGCGGAATGGAGAAGCAGAGGAACGGATGGCGATGGATGTTGCCGTGTCGTGTCAGGGCGATGACGGACACATCGTCGACGGTTGGGATTACGACCGGGGCTTTGGGTACGCGGACGGACTGATGACGATATCATTTTGTGAGGACCCGATTGGGCCGTGGAATCAGTTTTATTCGTTTTGCAGTATGGAGTAGACATAGGCTGTATTGAATTGAAATCGTTCATTAGCAGCTTTGATGGTAACGGACTGTGAACAGACAGCCGCTATAGAAAGCAAGGTTGGTGGCCGCTATCTGTCACGGTCAGTCCGGGGCTCCGTGCGGTACTCCGCCGAAGCGACGGATGCCGGTGTTGATTGGTAAGTACAGTAGTCAAAGATGAACCTAGTACGTACTAAACTAATGACTAGAGTAATCTTTTATCCAGGCAGTATAAATACAAGGTTTCTTTATATGCTATGTTTTTTTAAAATATATCCTAACTAGATACTTTTATTATACATTCAAGGTTATTATTACCTAGGAAATAATTTTTTTATATAAAGAAAATATACATCAAGTATATGATCATATAGCTTAATATAGTTTAACTAACTTATCGAGTTCCTTCTCTCTAGTATTATATATAAATCTATATATTAGCCTTATATTACTCTTTCTATGTATGCTAGCCTCGAGAACTGTACTGATTGGCTTATAGCCGACTACAGCGACTTACAGCAGCCCTCCACCACACCCGAGTGCTAAAGCCTATGACAGGATGACAGGCGCCGACACGGCCCGTTTGCCATCTGCCCGTCGCTGTCCAACTGTAAAATTCCTGCCAGCTGCCAGGTACCAGCTGCCTGTTGCCTGTGTTGCCTGCCAGCTGCCGGTTGCCTGACAGCTGCCGGTTGCCTGACAGCTGCCGGTTGCCTGACAGCTGCCGGTTGCCTGACAACGCAAACGCGACGGCTCCCAGCCCAAACCAATGTCAAACCGGCCAACTCTCGCTACTTCCATCTTGCCCGTCTCGCCTCACCCAGGCTGAAACGTTCATGGATTTCACCAGAGACAATCGCCAGACACTTTACTTTTGCTTCTATTCTACCCTCGCCTCCAAAAAACATCATCATCATACTCTCGCCCTCGTTAGCCCCCCGGCTCTCGATGCCTCCCATCCACTTCTAGCCGCCTCACCCATCACGCGATTGCCCCTCCTCGCCACCGCAACGGTGACATGCCACACTACACCGCTCACCACCAAGCCGGCTCTCGTCCCCTCCGATCCGGATGCGAAAACCCGCTGCCGATTCTCAGGGGCATTGGTTCCCGACCAGCCGGCTGTCCCCTTGCCGCGATCTAGCCCTACTGGCAAATTCCGTCACGAGGTTGCGAGGTTGCCATGGCTGGCCTCCCACGTTTGGGATTTCGCGACGCGATGAACCACGAAGCCCCCTCCCGTTCGTCTCCTGCGACAATAAAGAACCATGTCCGAGCCTCATCCAACACTCGAGCTTGCAACATGGACTTGGGCTGTCGCAGGTGATGCTGCCACCGAGCTTCTGTCCTCCTCCACCACAGCCGCACGCTACCTACCCATGCGACAACCGTAACACACCCTCCCCGCACCGCAGGGACGTGTATCATTGATCCTCGGCATCAAGAACTCTGTCTTGCCCGGATCGCAGGTCTTTCAATTCAGCCTTGTCTATTTGACTATTGGCTTCGGGACCGCGCATGATGCCTACCCCATGATGGGAGAGGCAATCGCTGTGTCCTTGTGCATGACGAAAGCCGCGCCAATCTCGCGGATGCTGCAGGTCGCACTATGTGTCTAACGCGGATGTTGATCCTGTGCAGTTTTACGCACGACACAGTCCAATCCGCCGAAAAATCACGCCTTACCAGGGTATAATTTACATGATACTAGCATACTTGAAGCACGGCCCTCGCAATTCAAGTCGACATCGAACATCCCCCTGGCAATCTCATCGGTCGGCGAGCATCGGCCACGAGGCCAGAACACACTGTATCTACACCCCATTCGCAATTCTGATGGCGGCAATATCGCCCGACGGGTTATTATTGTCCAATTTCACTAATTACTCTCGCCATTCTCCGCGGTTATTCCCCAGCTTCACCACAAGCTAGTTCGTCGACAGAAGGGAAAAGTCACGCCCTCCGCCGTGGGGCACGCCTCTGCGCTACCAAAGTCAAAGAAAATCGCAAAACCTACCAACTGCTAGTTATTGTACGGATTGCGGTATCCTCTTGGTGGGCCGGCCGCCTGCTAGCTTGCTCATTTGCCAACCAGAGGATGGCATGTGGGCTTCATCTGGTTTACGGCCGCCTACTAGAAAGAACTCCGAAGCGTCATTATTGGGCTATCTCGTTGAGATCTGCAAGTCGGATACCACTGCGGCATAGACATCGGCGATTACTGGCTCGGGAAGCCGCGACTGTTCCCGGATCTCGCTACTTTGTCGAGCGAGATGCGGTATGGCTCTAACCCACAAGTGCGCACGTCGGCGCATCAAACCTCGAATTGGAGCCCTCAAACGTCGATAAATATTTGAAGACTAGACAGGTGAACATCCTCCACGCCCCCAAGTTTTGGGATCTATATTGCCCTCTGGCATGTGCTGCGTACTTTCGCCAAGCTACTCGCTCCACGTTGGCAGTTAAAGTTTGGCCCGGCCTCCAAGTCGGTTGAAGGCCCGAGCAACCAGCGGTATCACGGGCATCCTATTGGGGCGCAAACAAAACGACCCGACCTTTTACCGTTAATTCGCGGAAACCTACCCTGCCATTGCACTCCATTGAGCATCTTGCCAAGGCGGCTGGTTCGTGCTAATGGTCGGGTAATTCAGTAGGGCAGCGAATTGCCACTACTCCCTGGTCAGCAAGTACACTCTAATCGCGGCTTACACAAAAGAAATCCGCCTTTGGCTGAAATAGCAGATCGGACGTGGCTAGGGTCTAGTTACATCGTGGTTCGTTTGAGCATTTCATGCCTGTTCCTCGTCGAATATTCCGCTGCCCACATAGGTCTAATATCTTTGGCCATAGAAAAGCAGTTGTATGTTCTGTCCTGAGCATTTAGGGAAACGAAGTCACTCGAACCTCATTTTGCGCCAACGCGGGTTATACAATAAGGTTTGGAGCCACAAACATCCCTACTCATTCCAACGCTAAAATTGGGTACGCCAGCAACCAGGGCTCAAAAGGAAGCCGGCGCAAAAGAAGACCTTGAAAGAAACCTCAGCGGGGCAGAGTAGGTGACGATGGATCGTTTACCACTTATAATAAAAGGTTCAAAAGTCAATACAGCGACTCAACTCTATTGCCGCCGGCAATCAAACTCAAACCCGTTTAGCCCGTTCGCTTACCATACTTCCATATTAGGCAATATGGGCAAGACCGTTGGATCGGCACCAAAAGCCGCGACCCACCCAAAGGGCCTGCCGGCCAGTAAGCGTGACGCAATGTTCAAGCCGAGGCTCGCGCAGCTATGTATCCTGAAATCTCGATTGATTTTAGACGATTTCAGTGACTCGCCGCCTGTCTTGATCAACTGCCTTGTCCACCCCTTGCCGCAAAGCAAACAGAAACAGGCACACAGCGCGACAGAGTGACATACACCACGACAGGTTGAGCCTCTGTACGATTATCGAGCCAATGCATATGAAGAGCCGATGTAATGACAAGGACAAACCAAACGATCTGATTATACCACATATGGGAAAGTTAGAATCGCATGATTTCGAAGCCTTTTTCAACGGCGCGGAGATGTGGCACATTATCTAACCATATTTGACGTGTCGTTTACCTCGCGATTCGCGTGGGGTGGGCTTGTTGCTGTGCATCGGCGGCTTGTTCTTAGGAATCGTAGAATCGTGGGATAAAGATTTCCGCTTCTCGGGTGGGCGCGCTTGGGTCCTTGCTCTGATAGACACAAAATTCCCCGCTCTCTGTCTGTGTCTGTGGCGTTAAACTTTGAGCCCCGTGGCCGACTGACTAGTGAGCACAGGCTTCCCGACCGTTCCGCGTTTTCTTCGCTTCGTGCCTTTTCCCCATTGTCCATGCTACATAGTAGACATTTCACAGAGCCGTTGAAGTAGCGAAACTTTAAAAATGACGACAAACAACTACCCTTTTACCAGGTATGGTAACAGTATGTAAAGGAAACCGAGTTTAGGGCTGCTTGAGCTCGCTAAGATGAGTCTAGGTTTACCTCTATGATGGATCTAAGCGTTAAGCAGATACGAGTACCAAGTTGTGAGCTGATTACATGGTTGTAATCGCTTGCTTAGGTCGGCGGGCGCTCAAGTAGAGCAAAAGTCTCACCAATACCAGGATAAGAGCAGTTCAACTAGCAACGATGAAGCTCGCAACCTGATGCACCGAGAAGCGAACATCAAAAAGCCTCCCTACTTGTTAGCGTCCAAGCTTTCGAAAATCCTGATCAGCCAGCAAACTCTCACGCTAAAAAGGTATCAGCACTGCACTTCTCCACATGGAGCTTTTCATTAGTCTACCATCCCAGATCTGTAATAATGCCCAGCACCCTGATGTGTCATGCAGCATCTGCCCGAGCAACTGAGATTGGTATATATGCAATCCCTGCACAGCGCAGAAGCCATCGACGTCTCGTGGGAAGCTTGAGCTAGCTCTTCGGCTAGGCACAGACTTGGCAGATTCATTCCCGGCCTGCTCCCCCGCGGCATGGTGCCTGACCATGCCGCCGGCAGTCAAGCATACGCTCTCAAAGACACTGTTAGGGTATAATGCAGTGATGCATGATATTAAGAGACGAAGTGAGCAACTATCGGTGATGGGTTTCTCATCTCGATTGCGCCGTCATAGGGCGAAATATGCAAGGGGGATATGCAAGACATGGGCCATGCACCATCTTGCGCAACTTGCACCATCCCTGTAAACTTTGGTCGATGAGGCTTTCTTGTGAAAATTCCGATGGCTCTCACGTGCTCGCACGGATAACCTTGCTTGCGCCCGCGAATTCGAGGGCGCGTGGGAAAATCAAAGTGTGTGCGAGCGTCTGACCTCAGCTGAAAGCCTTCTAGTCCACGGGCCTTGATTCGTTGTCCTGTAAGCTGCATGGGCTATTTCGAAACAGACTATATTAAACGACCAATAACAAAGTCGAGCGAGTTTATCAAGAGAGGTTTTATTATCCCACGCCATGCGTAAAGCAGACCGTCGTCTTTTCATGTGGTTCCGGCTCTGCATGGACAAAGACTGTGCCAGGGTTCTGTCAGAACTATACTGAAGCTATATTTAAGCAGCGACGCTCAATCCTTTGTGCGACGTAATGCAGTAATGCATGGGATGGGAGCTTATAAACCAGGCAAAAAGGAAATAGCGACTGACGAGACATGTTTATGCGATCAAGAGACGGCAACCCGCCCGGGTCACTGGCCTTTCATGCCGCCCTGGGGTCCCTGATCAACATTATGCACTTTGCATATATCTACGTGACTGGATGAAAGTGATGTATCATATCGCAACTACTCGTGATGCCCTTCTTTCGGTGTAGTTAATTCCACTTTGCTATCTAGTGATCGTATTTTTTTCTCGCCAATCTGACCTTGTCTCTCCCGTCTCTCGGAAGGATCATTCCTTGAGTTTGGCCACTTTATCCCCCCCAGCTTGCACAACAACATAAAAAGCTCATCTTCGGTCAATCTCCGCCCCTCGTTTACGCAAGAGGGGGAGGGGGGGGGAGGCCTGCAAGACACCTCTCTGCGCGATATACAACGAATTACACAGCCCAGAACCGGCGGACATGGGTCCATCCGTGGCGCAAGGACAGCGACGAAAACAAAAAGGAATCCTGGCTTCGGCGACCAAAAGATGTGTATCAATCGCGACTAGGAAGCAGAGTTTCCCGGAGATGTGCAGTCCCGGGGCTTCGCAGTGTCCCTTGCGGGCAGAAAACCTATACTTAGTTCCATGCTTCGCAACTCCGCAGGTCCGTCCCCGTAATCAATCTCATACGCAAAAATACACTTTCCTACATCACAAAGGGCGTCTTTCCACATTAGCCATAGTAATCTTAGTTTTGTTCCCCAAATTGCTAAAAAAAAAACCCCCAAGTTAATAAGCCGCGTGTGGTTCTACGTTTGATCCTTGTTGTTCACAACCTTCCAGACCTGCCCTTCGGCTGCTACCAGGGTGTCCCCGGCAGCCGACACCCATTTCTTGGCCGTGCCCCAGATGCCGTCCTCGCCCGCACCGTCTTCTCCTGCGCCGCCCACGAAGCTGCCAGGGCCAAACGCGGCCTGGTGCTGCGAGACATATGCATGGTGGGCCGCGCGCTGACCGCTGGAGAACTCGGCCGCGTGGGCGTCTTGCTGGTAGCCCGGCGGGTGCGACATGTCGGTCGCGCGGTTGATGCCGGGGGCGGCGAGCGCGTTGCCGACGGGCAGCGGCACGGGCCCTGAGGCATACGGCGAGGAAAACGTGGCAGCCGTCGTCGCGGTGGTCGAGGTGCCTCTGATGGACATCGACGTGGCCGGCGGAGGATAGGCCATCTGCGCTGGCATGCTGGTGGTGGTGGTAGGCACAAAGCTGTAGGTCCCTCCCCCATACGTGGGCGGCGGCGGCGGCGGCGCCGCTACGCCCGTGTGCGCGGGACCTAGTGTTTCACCTTTTTTGGGTGGCCGAGGCAGCAGCGAGCTGCCAGCGGCGCCAGCCGGCCGCGAGGCAAAAAGTGATGCGGATGCGGGCAGCAGCGATGCGCCTGGGGGGGTGGGCGCTGCGCCGGGCTGTGGCGCGGGAGGATTGTTGTTGTTGTTGTCGTTGTTGGCAAGTGGCTGGGTCGGCGTGGCCTGCTGCTGTTGGTGGTGGGCAGCGCGCGGTGGGGTCGAGGCCGATGAGGTCGCCGAGGGGTAGGACGGCCTGGATCCTGGCTGCGCTGACGGCGGTCCGTACAGGCTCGCGGCAGAAGAGGCCGGGGCGGCCGCCGTGGCTGGCGCAGCAGCCCTGCTCGTCGTCGGCGTGGGCTGGGCTGTCGCCGCGGGCGCCTTGGCCGCGGTGATGGGGCTGGAGCTAAATGTCTGGATCGGCGCCATGGTTAAACTCTGTGTGTATCTTTGTCGTCTACTGAAGGTTGTCTGTGTTGTCTGTGTCGTTGATAAGTAAAGCGCAAAGTTGCTGCTGTCGTGCTCTTGGTGTTTTAATAGGAGAGCTTCAGCTCGAAAAGGCCACGGTGATGCTGAACCCCCGCGATACACCCCCGCTTGTGGCCGCGCGAGGTTAGTTGTCGACTAGGGTTGCTGGAAAGCGCCAAAGGAGTAGCGGAGAGACGATGATCAAGTGTGTTTTTGCTGAAATGTACACATGTGAGGATGGTTTACGGAGATATGGTACGTTTGCCGAACACGTTGTTGTTCTTGGAGTGGCAAGTCATTACGTCAGGTGACGGCTAGAACTTAAGAAAACTTTGGTGGCGGCGGGGGATCGCCAAAGCTGGATTGTTTGGATCCGCAACGACCAGGGAAGAAAAAGAAGCCATTTTTTTAGGATTGAAGTTAAATTGTGGCAGGCTGGAATTTAAAAAAGAAAAACTTTGTTGTCAACTTGACCTACAGCATAGTCGTGATACGGCATTATCGCTAATGCAAGATCAGTAAGCAGCAAGCCGCCACAAGCCACTTTGTGGCTGACTAGATAGACGGACAAGTACACCTTCAGGGATATCAGTCACTATACCGCATAAAGTCACGGAATCATGCCGAAATGCAACATGCGCTTTGATTCCCCGCGAAAACTAAAAGTGACAGATCGACGGCATCACGGTAGCCTTGACGACTTGCTCCCACGCTTCTCCTCGACACGCTGCATGTAAATCGTAGGCCTAGTTCCTTGGAAGAAACCTCTCAAAAAATAATCTTCTGGCCACTCGCGTCGGATATCTAGTCAGCTTTGGTCCATGTCGTCAGCCTCTCGGGATTCTAGCGCGTCTAGAACGAGACCAGCGTATGCCACTGCAGGTTGCGACCAGCCCCGGAATATGGGTCGGGCAGGCAGGCGCTCGACTTGGGAAAGACGCGACAGAACAAAATCGGGCAGCTCGGGGATAAACATGAGGCCTCGATGGAGGTGTCGGCAAATGGGCCTGGAATGGAAGGCTGTGTGTGCTGACTGGATATGGCTTATCAAAGTCATGTCCGCTTTTGTAGTTGAGAAAGCAAGGGGCACCTCTCTCTCGCGATAGCCACGTCGGTTTGATACTTTGCCGCTGGGTATCAAGTTGACTGCAGGCTGGTGTTATACTGCCCAATTCCTACGCGTGGATTTGGCGCTGCATCGCCACCAATCCATGTTCATCCACCCACTCCGCGACTTGCTCAAAAAGGTCGATAGCATCCTGGCATTGACGCCGGACAAGACCGGTCTCGTGCCCAATGTACATCGTATCGCCAATGTACTTGCGCAAGATACCACTGCCGGCCACCTTCATGACAATAAGGACACGCAACTCATAGTGCAGCTCCCTGAGGAGACTGGCGGCCACATCACGGTTGGCGAGCTCGCCGTTCTTGTGGCACATAGTTTATTCAGGCAACGCACTCGTGTCGGAATATTGGGACAGGCCCAGACTTGACGAAGCTGACAGAACCATGAGGACGAACAACATCAAGGACTCATGAATCTGGTATGTAGCCTGAAGAGTTTCATAATCAGTACTCAATCACAGAAGATGTAGGACCATAGAGAGGTAAAGTGTGGATGTATGCCTGCACCAGCCCGGTGACGCCATCATTCCGAGCCTTGAACAGTTAAGGCTTTATTAGAATAACGGCATATTTCCCACCTATCCAGACGAAGGTACCATCCCGAGCATCAGTCGAGTGACATGAGGAGCGGGCTCAGCGAAGCTGTCACACCAGGCAGGCAACCGCATTGCTGGGAAATGTGATTGAGCGCACGACGTCGCCATGAGATTGATTCTGAGCAATCACTGATGAGCATCACTGAGCTTTCGAGATGGTCTTGCATCGCATGAAAATACCGCTGGACGAAATTCTGAGACGAAACCTTCTGCAGTTAAAGTATAGGAGAATATTATAAGGAGATGAATGACGAAAAGCACGAGTGTGAATGATTCAACTGAACAGATGGTCGGTACGTACCTACCCGTTATTGCGCGGATTAATGAAACTCCAGCACCCGCTGCGCTAGTCCGTTTAGGTGCTTTCCAAGGGACATCTCGGCGGCGTTGTGGACGAATTGCATAGCAAACTACCGACTTTTATCTTCATCACGCCAATTAGCTTGCGTGCGTCGCGCCATCCATCATGGTCGGAAAGGTTTCGGAGAGGGTTCTTCTCCGGGAAGGTACGTGACCTCCCCTCGCATCCTTCAACGAGACACTTACTAACCCTGCCCAGGCCTCGAACGGACTGATAATGGCATGAAGCTTTCCACCTGGCCGGATGTGACGCCTATCAACCAGAAGAATTACTATACGTATGAAAACTCGCGCATTTCGCATGTTCGCGAGCTAACAATTGTGTAGAGACTATATGAAACGAGATGACCAGATCCTAGCACTACGACTCCAAAACGACGCCACGCGCGACAAGCTCGTTCAAAGTGCGCGCGACCGCGATCGCTTCCTATCAAAGCCTGCAAATGGCGAGCTCTCGCTGCCCGTCCCCAACCTGGCCGACGACGAAGACGGCGCCGCGACACCTTCCGCCGCGACCGACCCCTCGCGCATCATCGTCATCCACCCCGGCAGCCAAAACTTGCGCATCGGCTTTGCGAGCGACGCCCTGCCCAAGACGCTCCCGACCGCTCTCGCCACCAAATTTGCGCGCACCGAGGCCGACATGTTTGAATCCCTGCCGCGTCGCCAATTCGAGGCCAAGACCGTGGAGCAGCAGTACGGCGAGGAGTGGTCGAAAAAGTACCAAAAAATGTGCGCCGACCTCAAGATTGAGATGCGCGCCAACAAGCGCAAGGTGCTACCCAACTCCAAAGAGCTCGTGCAGACCTTTAACCGACGAACGGAACCGGAAATCATCCAGCAGCACAACGATCCTTTGGAAGTGGAATGGACCGACGTCAAGAAGCTGAAGAAAACCAACTTTGAGGCCGAGTGCTTCATCGGCCACGAAGCCTTGCGTGTTCCCGACGACTCAGATCCCAAGTTCAAAGTTTGGTGGCCGCTTCGGTACGGCTTGTGGAACGAAGATGGTTACGGGAGCCAAGAGCACCTGTACGACGACTTTGAGACACTCCTCGACAAGGCACTACGACAAGAACTCGGCCTGCGGACGAACAGCGAGTGGCAGCAGTATAGCTGTGTCTTTATCATCCCCGATCTCTACGACAAGAAGTATGTGGAACAAATCCTGCACTCGTGCATGACATGGTTCGAGTTCAGCAAAGTCTGCTTTGTCCAGGAGAGCATGGCGGCTACATTCGGCGCCGGCTACACGCAAGCCTGCGTCGTCGATGTCGGCGCTCAAAAGACATCCGTGACTTGCGTGGAAGACGGTCTCTGCATTGAGGACTCGCGCATTTACCTAAAGTATGGCGGCTACGATATGACGGACACGTTCATCAAGATGATGCTGTACGACAACTTTCCGTACCAGGAGATTAACCTGCAAAGGCGATCCGACTTTTTGCTGGCCGAGGAGCTCAAGATCAAGCATTGCACCATGTCACAGGCCGAAATCTCGGTACAACTCTACAGCTTCCACGTGCGCGCCCCCAACGAACCGACCCGAAAATACGCATTCAAGACCTACGACGAGGTCATTCTCTCGCCAATGGGCGTCTTTGACCCCTCAATCTTTGACAATAGCACTAAGCTTCGTGGGAGGCGGAAGTTGATTGAGCGCTCGTACAACTCGTACGAGGTGGATCTGCCAGACGACCCTACCTCAGCTGCCCAGCTCGCCATCCTCGCTCTCGTCCAGCCGTCACTTCTCTCCAACGAGTCCCAGTCTCAGGAGGTTTCCACGCCGATGAAGGAGCGCCCTGGCTTCAGCTTCAAGAGCGACGCCAACGGTACACCCATGGCCTCGCATGCCGGTTCTCCCGCCCCCGAGGGCACTGGCACGCCAGCACCCTTTGTATTTGGCGCCGGCAAGGACATCAACCGCGACAGCCCCGTGCCCGGTGGGACCCCCATGCCGGGCTCGCAGGCGCCTGGCGGCATGTTTGTCGAGCCATTGTCCCAGGAGCGCACCGCCGAGGACATTGCAGACGAGCGCGAGGCCGTGTTGCCCGTCGCGCCGCTCGACATTGCCATCCTCACGAGCATCCAAAACGCCGCTAAAGGTGACGACAAGAAGCTTCGCGACCTGCTCGGCAGCATCATGGTCGTGGGCGGCGGCGCCAAGATTCCGCAATTTACCGTCGTGCTCGAGGAGAAGCTCAAGGCACGCCGGCCCGATCTCACGGAGCGCATCCTCGTCAGCCGCAGCGCCAAGGACATGGATGAACAGGTCGTCGCGTGGAAAGGCGCGAGCGTCTTTGCCAAGCTCCCGGCCAATGACTCGTGGATCACGCCGTTTGAGTTTGAGCGCCTCGGACCCAGGACCCTGTACCACAAGGTGCTGTGGGCTTGGTAAAGGTTGCTGCGTGTAGGAAGCGGGAGAGTTGGTACACTTGGGAATTCTGGGCGGAACTCAAATGGGGAGTTAATGTAGATTACGGCGCAAGAGGAGTTTCATGACACCAATGGTATTTTACCATGATATTCTGCAGCATTGTAGACATGTGTGTGGCATCCGCCTCGGCGTTGTAGGCGGCATCGAGGGGTTGTATTCGAACATGGTAGTACGGTAAAAAGCATGATTCTGATGACACCCGGACACCCGCGAGCCTGATAAACAAGGCGCTCGATTACTTTTCCCGCGACAAGATGTCCCTACGATCTCTAGTATACATAGCGAAATTCCGGATGCTCCTTGTCTGTGAGGTCGCCAAAGTCGGCGGACAATCCACCCACTACAGACGAACCATCATCTAACCGCGTCTTTTCCTTTTTCGAGTTTGCTCTCCAAAGGTGAACCCTTGCACAGTCGTTAGCTCCCAAAAGTTTGGCCAGAACGAGGTTCCTTTCGTCGACAATGCGACAAGGCTTACAGCAGGAGAAGCTCAATCGCAATCATCAGCGCGAGAGAGACGTAAAAGGCGCGGAATCCGGTGGGATATCGTGGCTTCTCCTTGGCGAGAAAAAAATGCGGTGCTGCGATTTGTCCGACGCTGTAGGACATGAACATCATGACCTGCGAGCAAAAGGTTCAGTATGCTGGGGGGGTTATTTAAGTGTTGTCAGTCGCGCAGGGGCTCGACTCACGGCCGCGGTAGCTTTCTTGGTGAAGCCGCCAATGTTGGACGCAACGAGGCTCATGCACATGATGTATGGTACAGTATTGACGTACAAGACTGCCAGGTTGGTTCAGTGGCTGATTTGACGCAGGATCAGGTGAAGTCAACTTACTAAACATTGGTCCAAGCGACTGGTTGGCAGGCAGTTCTACCACAAGTGTCAGCTCAGCGGCGCATGGAGACGAGCCCAGGCCAGGACGCACTCTCGACCAAGACACTGCCAATCAGCACAATGATATTCGTCACAATCATGGTCGCTATTCTGACATTTGGGATCGCTTGGGCAATGGCTCCTGCGGTGACCACAGAGAAGAGCTGCACAGCGTCGCACGGAAACGACACGAGGACGGCCCCTCGGTCGCTGTACCCAAGCCCAGTAATGACAATCTTCCCAAACTAGTTCAACCCTGCATTAGTGAAGAAAAAAAAAGGGACACCCCCGGGAATGGGACTTGCCGCTGTGAGACCGCCTCCCGGGATGCACTGCAAGAAGCTGTTGGCGCAGAGCATCCACACCTGGGGGTCGAGCAGCGCCTCCTTGGCCTGGTGGACTTTGTACGTGCGGTTCTCGATGCCCGTGTGATTCTCAATGACCTGGATCTTCTTGTGAGACAGTTTATACAGATTGGGCCGTTGGCAAAGGAGGGGAACTCACCCGAAGCACGGCGACCTCGCGCTCCCGCTCGGTCAAGAACCAGGCCGTCATGGGCGACGTGGGCAGGGCAAAGAACAAGAAGACGCCCCATGCGATGGAGATGGGTCCAAAGATGAGGAAGATGAGCTTGTCCACAGTCCGTCAGCCGAGGAAGAAGAAGAAGAAGAAAAAACACGAACCTGCCAGGTCGCGTACCGCCCGCCCGC